TATCTTATTCCATGATATCCCAACCCATACTATGCTATCCCATCACACCACGGGCCAAGCTATGCCATCTTATTGCGTGCTATCCCAAGCTAACCTACCATCTCCTATGCTGTGCCATCCTATACCATGTTATCCCATCCCATACTCTCCMATGCTATGAACTCCCATATCATCCTRTCCTGTCCCATACCGTGCCATTCYATCCCATCCCATATGTTTTCCTATCCAATCCCACCTTACGACATACCATGCCATTCCCGTACCRTGCTATCCCAAGCTGTCCTATCTTCTCCCACGCTATGCCATCCCATCCCATGTTGTCCTATCCTTCTCTATGCCATGCTACTCTGTTCTGTTCTCTCTAAGTCATTAGTTCTATTCACAGCAAACAACAGCAATCCAGCRTCTGTCATCCCATCACTTTGGCGAAACCTTGATGTATTRATTGGACAGCTGAAGTAAGCCACACAGAAAATGATGATAGAAGATACTCACTAAAGATATGTGTAAACTTATACGATGTTCTTGTTCTTCAGGTATCACACCATACCACAACCAAAACCACTGAGTATACAWCCACAGAAAGCSAAAAGTATGTCAGTTRATGATGGTGATGATAATGATAGTACTTTATGATGATATTGATGATGATAATGGTGATTTTGACTTTAAAATTATTAAAACAAGTGAACTGGACGTTTTGGTGCAAACAGGCACCGTTTTCAAGAGAAAAGTGTTCTAAGTAGTTAGTAGTTTGTAATCTTAGACTCAAACTAGGAAWTACTAAGAACACTTTTTGCTTGAAAATAKTGCCTRATGGCACCAAAACATCCAGTTCRCTTGYTGTRATAAATTCTATARTCAAAATAACTAAGAACAARCAACTTACACGATAATGATGATGGCAATGACTTTAAAGATGGTGATGATGATAAACTATAACTCCGGTTATTAATTAATRATTTTATATTTGTAATTGGGGTATTTCAAGATGTGTGGTGTTTTCATTCAGCATCAACAAACACCTTGTCAACCATGTGTCTGCAACATTTTAGAATCTTAGCAATGCCAAGTATTAATAATTCTTTTTGCTATTAATATTAATCATCATTAATAATAAGTGTTTATCAGAGTTGGAAAAAAATCTTACTTATCTTATTTTAATTTTACAGAGAAAAAATTTTATGAAAGGATCCAACAGGACAAACCAGTATCAAATCCATCCAACAGAAATAAACCACGAACTCCTAGTACTTCTTCTACAAATACCCAAAAGACAAGTGATAATGGRRTCCAACCTRTGCAGTCGTTGGTTGTCACTGGTTTGCTTGCRCCATCARGCTCCCCGTCAAAATGGCAATCTGTCAGACTTCATGGATCAAATGTGCGCCAAGAATCCTTAGCAATAAATACAGATCATCAAAGATCTGTGGAGATCACAAAGGATCATATTGAATCAACAGGAATCAATAGAGATCATTGCGAGTTAACAGAGATTTGTTTAAATACTGGATCAACAGACATTGTAAGGGATCAAAATGRATCTTTGGAAACCACTAGTGATCAACAAGGAATATCATCTAGGATCATTAGGGATCACCAGGAATCTATAGGGATCACTAATAACCCCGAGGGATCACTAAATGTTGCTAGGGAAGATCATGGAACACTAGATAATGGATCAGAAGTTATTGCARGGGGTCATTATGGGATCACAAGGGATCAAAATGGATCAGTGGTACACAATACTGATCAGGGATCACTTTGCTCAACAAGTAAACAATCTTCCTTGGAACCCATATCAATTATGTCACTTTCTAACTCAACTGTTGATGGAGGTGGTGCAAATATCGAAAGCAGTGAGGTCCCTTGTATCACAATAGATGAGTCACAAGAAGAAAGTACATTTGAAGTCGATGACACAGGTCAAGCTGAACAAATGTCTGGAGTAACAGCTACAAATGAAATGTTGGATTTTTCTTTTAAATCTCCCAAGAGAAAAGGGTATATAGTTATTTTTTCACATAAATTATAACCTTAAATTTGATATAAATACTTAGTAATCATATCATTCTTCTCACTTTTATAGGAATACACCAAAGAAAAGACATGTTACCAAACCCTCCCCTGCTAAGTAAGTTGCTGCAAAGAACCTCTGCTAATGCTACTTAGAAAGCATGCCATGTTAGAAAAGCAGCCATGTTAGAAAATACAAAATGATAAATACTTTGTCAATGAACCAAACAACATAGCTACTGCAACTGGAAAAGCCAGCTCACACTATGACAAAAGCTGAACAGGATTTCTCTACTTGTGAACTGGGTAAAACACAAACATAAGACAATTTCCAATTCCTTGTGTTTCTGTTAGGGCAACAACATAATGTAAAGCTTATGTCAAGTGTGAACAAGCTTCTGCTTCAGTTTCAGCTTATGTCATAGACGYGTGAATTGGCTATGTGAAATCAGCAATAAATAAATGTGTTATGCCCTTTTTGTCAAGGGTTGTTCCCCAAGATTCGTACCCTGTAGAGCTTGTGGAACTGCAACAACTTCTTGATGGCGAAAAAGTAGCTGATGCTGCCATGCCRGTAAGATRTTTTGAATTTTATTTCACTTTACCATTTATACATGTAGGATKCTTTGTATTCACATATTTTCAGTTTTTACAAARTGTACAAACATTTTTGTATTTTTTCATATTGTATTTTCAGTTTCTGTTAGATACCTTCTTAAATACTCCTATGCTACAAGAAAAACTGGCTGAAAATATAAATAAAGTTGTTGGAAGGTAGGACTRCATTGCTTGCTCTATGTACATGTAGATACTTGATTGATACTGTCAATCCCATTTTTTACCATAACTTGTAGAATTCTCGCATGCTGATTGGTTGAGAGCCGTTGTCGATCGTAGGACAGACCGATGAAATGACTAATCGCTCGCACATGGAGCAGGCGCACGCCAGAAACGATTTTGTTTTGAAAGTTTTACTTTGTTTTTGGCTTTGTTATGGTAAAAAACAAATCAAAATCACTTTTCTATGGTCTGTACGCTTATCGACAATGAAAATGACGCCAAAAAATGGATCAAAACTTGGCAGTGAAACCACTCGCTACACTTGTGGTTCCACTTGAGTTTTGATCATTTTCTGACGTCATTTTCATTATCGATAAGCGTACAGACCATAGAAAAGCGATTTCGATTTGTTAAAAGTCCTCCATCTCCATATTCAGTAGTTCTAAGGCAAGTGAAGTAACAGAAGAAGTCATCATAGAGGGTACAGAGAAACCATCAACATCTACCGAAGACAACAGCAATGATGATCAGCATCTTGAGGTACAAGATTGATCTTTCAATGAATATTTAGTGTGGGGAACAAAAACAAAACATGCAAAAAGAAATGCTGTCTCACAAGCCATGTTAGCCGTTTTCATACAAAGTTACTAGTTAAAATAAAAAATTCTACTCGTTTTTATTTGATATAGATTCCAGTGGATGATATTTTGAGTTTGCTGGAAGCTGATCCTGTCTTTGAATCCTTACTTTCTATTCTTGGAAATGGTAATAATTTATAGTGATTTGGTGTGTCTTGCCTTAATTATACATTTATCTTTGATCACATTTTTTCTCCCTCTCAGTAAATTGCTTGATAATTTTTACCATCACTTGTTTATATACAGCTACATGTATTTCAAAAAACGTTGTCAGGAGAACAGCGAGCGGCAATTGTCGAATGGAGATTGCACGACCGAAATGGACTATGGTTACACTGTTAATTGCACTTATTGGATTCACCTTACATAGAAATGGAGACTAGATGGAGCCAATGTTTACCACAGACCATCTTTCACTATAAATCAGTTGTTATTTCTATTCAACTAGCAAAACCCATGGCTACTTTCSGTCATGCATTCGGCGTTCAACAATTGACATTCGCCATTTTATCTGACAACCTTTTTCTAAATAGCTATATTCACAGTTTCCTTCATCCATTCATTTAATTAGTCTTTCATTCACTTTTCATTTTYCCATTCATTTCTTCATTCCATGATTTGTTTAAAATTCTGTTTATTTACTTGTTCATTCGTCCATTAATTTGTTTATTCATTTTTTTCATTCATTTGTTCAGATGGAACAAAGACAAGTCCTAACAAAGAAACTCAAACCTTCCCACAAGGCTCAAGTTCATCTGGCACAGTACCACCACCTAGTACTGAAAATTATACATCCAATCCAGACAGCCAATCAGGTACAGCTTTTCCTGGAAATRAACCATGTGTCTCTAAGTTTACTTGTACAGTCAAACCTCTATTAAGTGGTCACCTCAGGTGAAACACCCGGTGACCACTTTACAGTGGTGGGTCGTTAAGAGAGGTCACCTCTACAGTAATATGAGAATAGTCCACTTCGCGGATAATTCGAAATTTTACATTACGTCGTTATGGTAAATAATTGACATCACTGGAAAGAGCGTCATAAAATCAGCAAATTTGCCAAGTTTGAAAATAATCTGATTTAAATTCAAAGAGATACGGCACTTCAAAAACACTAAATTTTGCATAGAAATGTTTGGCNCATTCACTTTTCATTTTTCCATTCATTTCTTCATTCCATGATTTGTTTAAAATTCTGTTTATTTACTTGTTCATTCGTCCATTAATTTGTTTATTCATTTTTTTCATTCATTTGTTCAGATGGAACAAAGACAAGTCCTAACAAAGAAACTCAAACCTTCCCACAAGGCTCAAGTTCATCTGGCACAGTACCACCACCTAGTACTGAAAATTATACATCCAATCCAGACAGCCAATCAGGTACAGCTTTTCCTGGAAATGAACCATGTGTCTCTAAGTTTACTTGTACAGTCAAACCTCTATTAAGTGGTCACCTCAGGTGAAACACCCGGTGACCACTTTACAGTGGTGGGTCGTTAAGAGAGGTCACCTCTACAGTAATATGAGAATAGTCCACTTCGCGGATAATTCGAAATTTTACATTACGTCGTTATGGTAAATAATTGACATCACTGGAAAGAGCGTCATAAAATCAGCAAATTTGCCAAGTTTGAAAATAATCTGATTTAAATTCAAAGAGATACGGCACTTCAAAAACACTAAATTTTGCATCAAAATGTTTGGCCAGGTTGTAACAAGTCAAGGTCAACCTCGATCTCATGCCATATATTTCTTTGTAAATTTTGCCGACTTTTAAACGCTGTATCTCCTTGAMTTTTCATCGAATCATGCTCAAACCTGGTWAACATRCTAATTTTATRCTGTTCTTTCCAGTGRTGGTAATAGTTTTTCGATATTTGCTCAATTTCTAATAGCTGTRTTATCCGCGAAGTGGACTATTGATTCTGGGGAATTTATGCGTGGCAGCTTAATGTAGGGACTGTTRAACAGAGAGCTGCTTTATAATATTTAGAGGTTTTACTGTAAGTGGATTAACCTCCTTAGAACTAATGCTATGATTGGTTAATTAACACCAATAGATTGATTACAATGATATGAACTTGTATGTTTAAAGATAGGTAATAAACACAGAAAAAAGGAATTGGTTACAAGGTCTGTTGTGTTTCAGCAACTTCACAGGCCACAGAGTCTCTTCTTCTGTTATCAAACAGCCCCCCAAAGATGTCAACTTCAACCACATTAGTTCCTGCTTCAAAGACTTCAGCAGTTCCACTGAAACCCTTGACTCCTGAAAAATACAGCCAACAGACTAGGCATAATACTACAACAGTTGTTGGACTGAGGCAGTCAGAGGACACTGAAGTCCATGTTAGAGCTCTTAAGTTCTCTAGAGATGTAACACCTAAAGGATCGAACGACAAGCTTAAAAAGGTAGTGACAATAACTAGAGTTAAGCCTGGTTTTAATTAYAAGTCCAAGTACTACTCACTCAAAATCAAATGCAAACAATAGTCTCCTTCAGGGTTCCATGTGCCATCTTGAAGGATAATGGCATTGAAACAAAATGGATTTGAGTTTGCAATGATAGAAAGGTTTACTCAATTTTTAACAATTTGGCAATTTTGATAGAAGTGAACCTTTATAGTTATTGGGTTACCTATTATCTATCTACTACTTCATATAAAAAAGTTGTTATTTTCACTAGTGAAAGTATAGAATTCAAGTTTTTTTTATAATTAGATAAAAAAGATATTCCACATCATGATTTGCTTTCATAAATAATGTTATGATAAACAGAATATTACATGGTTACTTGGAGATACAAATTTTATCTTTAGTTCTCGGGTTAAGATCTTTTTAACGCTCAAAGATAAAATCTGATTCTCTGCATGTCCATGTACATATAGTATCCTGTATATCTGGGTTATGAATTCCTTTAAGCGTGGATTTCACTAGCGCACAAGCATAGGCATAAGCACGAAGCTCAAGAGTCATATGCGCCAGTGAGAACGGACTCAAAATAAGCATAAGCATGAGCATAAGAAAAATGAGCAAGGCTTGATCTTCTTGTGCTTATCTCATGCTTATCTCATGCTTATGCTCAGTGAGAACAGGACTGCATAGGCATAAGCATAATCTGGTACCGAAATGATATGCTTGTGCGCATGCTCAATGTCTTATGCTTATGTCAAGCCTGTTCTCACTGGCGCATATGATTCTCATGCCTGTGCTTATGCTATGGTTATGCGCTAGTGAAATCCACGCTTTAAAATTCATAATGGCAGCCATATTAATAAAACAGTCAATCAATGTCTGTTTTTAATAGATACCAATTTCGAAGCCAGTAAGGAAAAACATGACAACTGCCTCCAAGAGGAACCGAGTTTCTAAAAAACACAAGAAAAAGAAAGGAGCAATGGTACCAAAYAGAAAATTGCTGTTGCCAAGTAACCCTGTACCAACTGAACAACCAGCAGTTAAATTGCTTCAGAGTTTAGCATCATCACACGCTTCAGCTTCATCTACGTTAGTCAATGAGTCTGCAGTGAATGGTAGAAATGGGAATGGGATTAAAAAAACGGGAGGTAATGTGCATTTTTTATCTTTACTTATTATCATTTTACAGTGAATGATATTTTTAWTTTTTCTTGTTTTTATAATCATTTTTATTCTTTTACATATGTGTCTTTGCAGGTACTATGCTTCAAGTGTTGCAAGATGCAGCTGCAATGGAAAAGGTGCAAGAAGAAGCACAGGGAACCCATCAAATCAACAATCAATCTCTATTATCTCCTCCTGTTGTCACACAACAATTACTTGCACCAAACCCACCAGTCATGAATTTTCCTGGTGGAGCCACCTTAAYGGGAAACATGCCGCCRCTATGCCTTCCTTCARGTCTGCAATTGATGCAAAAASATGCCAACAAGATTAACATTGCTRGTGGTCTTACACAACATGGAAATATTCCTATTACACTAACTATGGGGAAGGATAATTCAATGTTTTATTCTCAGACACAAAGTACTTGTATTCCTCAACCACTACCGATTACTTCCCCTGCAACCACWCTGACAGATTTGAGTGATTTATCATCAGCTCAAAATTCTTCTCTGTATAGTTTTGTTCCGAGTTTCCAACCATCAGGTTTTYTGCAYCAAACAACTAGTGTTATGAACACACTGYCAYATCCTTCGCAAGTTGGTCGTAAAGAAATGACTCAGGCAGTAGCTTCTCCATCTATTCTGTCATCTAACAATTCACCRGCYRATATTGTAAGTGSAGTTTCAGAGGGTGAASGRATAAGASTTTCCAAACAAGCTCRACATTTAACMAACTCTGTAAATAAACAAATGTCGCCATCATCTACACAGCTGGGTGATATTTCAGAGGGAAATTGTAATAAGCAGATTTCTAATCWCTTGCAAGATTATCCTCTTGTTTGTGGACAAGGTCAAAACCAAGCTTCATTATCRAACACTTCTATTAGCCAACAAGCTGCTACTTTGTCCAGTCAGTTACCTGGCARTCCTGATGAAAGYGTTAGACTCTTTAGYAKACTTTCTGGAAATGTTTCAGAACAAAATCACAAAAGAGTTCCAGTTTTAA